TTTGGGAGGAGAGCATTCAGCTCAGGGAAGGTCCTGTCTCTGGGACTAAACAGTTGTGGCTAACAAGTACTCCTTAGATCCCCAAGCATCTTCTTGCCTTAGTTAGTGAATTTCTTTAGAGAGACACTAAGAGAGCTGAGAAATGCACACAAACCATTTTGAAAACAGAAATGTAGATCAGTGAGAACAGAAGAGCTCAGCCACACCCCAGCGACGTTATCAGTTGCTTGGAGCAGAATGCCTAAACATCAGCACCTTCTGCAACATTTCTCCTTACACCAGTCATGACAGGAAGGAGTCCATAGCTCCCTTCCTGACCTTCACTCATCACATGCCTGGGAAGTGAGATCTCCTAGAACAACACTTTCATAGAGGATTAGAGCATGGATAATGCTAGCCAACTCCTTAATTCCAGAAGAAATGGTCCACTTTACCAGAACTTCCACTGCCTTAGAAATCAGAGAAAATTTGGCTCTGGTGGAAGTCCAGGAGATAGTCACATGTAGGGTTGCAAACTACAGCTTGGGGAATTCCTGGAGATTTGGAAGTGGTGCTTGGGGAAGGCAGCATTTAGGAAGAGGAAGGAAGCTCAGTGGGGTGTGGCGCCATAGAGCCCGCCCTCCAAAGCTGTCATTTCCTCCAGAGGAACAAATCTCTATGGCCTGGAGATTAGTTGTAATTCTGGGAGAGCTCCAGGCCCTACCTGGGCTGACAAATGGCAACGCCAGGCACATGGGGCAGCCTGTAATTTAAATTAATTGGTTGCTGTGGCTTTATGGTGACAGGTTTATTGATTTTAGACTGTCAGCTTTTATACTTGTAGAATGTTAACTGAGCTGTCTGGGTTTTTTATTCTGTTTTGTAAACCACCTTGGGTTTGCTTGAGCAAATAATGATGGTATAGAAGTATTCTAATAAATTTAATAATAAATTCCTTCTTGAAACCCTTATGTCAACTAAACCATCTTTGGGAAATTGCTACCTAGTCCTTGGAAAACCAGTATCTGAGTTCTGTCAGTAGGGAGGAATATTCAGACTTATAAACATAAAGGACTAGCTGGTAGGGGGCAAAGGGTTCTACTCTAGCCTCCTCCCTGAGCCAGTTTCCAGTCTTGAAGGAATGCTTCTGTATGGAGAAAGAATTCAGTCATGTGAGCACAGTTGGACATGCCAAACCAAACACAGATGTCCTACCTCAGCATAGACCTTAGGGACCCTGTCTTCAGGGTGAAAAATGACACCCCCCCCCCCACTGTAGGGGATGTGTTGTTAGGACATGTTTAAACTTGATGCTCTGCAGGATAAATTCTTACATAGCAAATTTCTGTGGCTTTCACAGTGGTTTCTGGATGACAAATCTCCTTTTGACCCATTTCAACGTGGCTTCAGGCCTGGGTTCAGAACTGAGTTCGCTTTCGTTGTACTGGTGGATGATCTTTGTTTACAGGCAGTCAGGGGAGGTATTCCTGTTGATATTGTTCCATCTTACTGTGACCTTTGCTGTTTGTCCTTATCTATAGATTGGAATATAGAGTTGGTGTTGGGGAATAGCTTTTCAGTGAGGTTTTTTTTCCTGCTTGGACACAGGTTTCCACCAGGACTGCTGCCCTATGATCAGGGGTTTATTATCTAGACAAGAGTTTAGCCCAAATCCACCCACTCCATTGAACTTTAGTGAGGAGGGGCTCTCTTCTAAGAAATAATCAATGAAGGCCCAGTGAAACTTTGCATATAATATTCACTGCAAAAGAAGAGTGCAAAGCACATTCACAGTATTCTTCAATTTTCATTGGTTTTCATGCACAGCTCACAAGGTTTCAAGGTCTCACTAGTTTAATGTTAACTTGTAAGATGCGTTCAGCAGATTTATGTGTGCAGACTTCTTTTTATGAGAGAGGAGATTCTTTGGAAATGTTTAGGTAAAAAAGTTCTCTGCCTTTTCCTTCCTTAATTGAACTCTAATCCAAAGCTAAGGTTTCACAGATGCTTCCTGGAAACATCATGTTGAGGAAGACAGCTGTAAACCTAAGGGAAGAGACCTAAGCAAGTCTAACACATATTAAATGCAGCCGAATAGATTGAAAATATACTGCCCTACAGACTCATTAGCTCAAACACTTGGGATGGTTGAGTAGTAGGGTATTGTTTTCTTCACAAAGCATACTGCTTCCCCTTAATGAAAACAAGCATTTCAAAGTAATTTTGTATTACATTCTGCCAAGCCAAAGAAAGCAAAATATCCGATCTCTCTCAGGGCAGAAATACACCTTATAATAGGCAAATCCTTTCTGAACTATCTGCCACAATGTGAAAGGAGGAGGGGATGGCATTTGTATAGGAGGATGGACAGGCAAGGCAGGGATTAACCCTTCAATTCTCTGCTAATTCTGTTCTAAAGACCTCCCTCCATTTTTCTCTGCAGTTTGGCTTCTTCCAGTATTCCAAACAGGGAACAGTGGTATTTCTTCTTATTATTTTTACTTCATTTATAACCAGCCTTGCTCCCCAAAGGAGACCCAAAGCAACTTATATCATTTTCTTTTCCTCCTTTTTATCTTCACAACAACACTGTGAAGTAGGTTAGCCTGACAGTGTAATTTTCTATGGCAAAGTACAGATGAAAACCTGTGTCTGCCTGATGCCCTAACCACTATACCAACCCCCCTTCAAAAAAACACTTCAAAGAACCAGGCACAAGCTGGCCAATCACGTATTAACCAAAACACCCTGCTCTTCCCCCTCATTGCCCTGTACCTCCCCATCCAGCCCTACACATTCAAGAAATGTACACAAGAAATCCAACATTCATTCACTGTGTTTGCACATTTCATTTTATTTGGCCTTATGGCATAGTAGTCTGGACTGTGAATATTAAAATTCCATACAAAGGGGGTCACGTTTTGGTTAAACCCAGGCACTCCAGATGAGTTCCTTAAAGAACACAGCAGAATAATAAAAAGCAGCTAGTAACAGAAATCCTATGTTCTCAGATCTATCAGCAAACATCAAAACAATTCCCTCAGGAACCAGAAAGATTACTAAAAAGGTAATACCAAATCAGAATTAGACCCACTGTTAATATAAAACACACCAGCTTTGCAGTCACACTTTTACTAGCAATATAACCTCATTTCTAATGGTATTTCTCATGAAGAAACACTGTTAAGGTTATTTACAAGCCAGGTTCAAAAAGCTGCTTCATTAAAATGGACCTAAAATACTTTGTACTGTAGGAGTGTCATAAAGAACTGAAGCCACCCTATGAAGCCAGTCTTTTCCGTACACACAACAAGATGTGTGTAATCTATGCAACTGCAGCAGCTTATATATCACCACTTACCACAGCACTTTCACAGTCCACATCACAATCCTTCTGCAAGAAAGGTATGTAACAATCTTTCAAGTCCCCAAGGCCCACATGTGACCATTCATGTGTTATCAAGACTCCCAGATTACATTATGCAAAATAATATCAGGATAATTTCATCTTCTTGTCTATATTTACACTATTTCTTTTTTACACATTTTCTCAGTCTGGATACCAACTGAACACCCTGATAGAAACACTAGCATAGATCCTACCAGATATTCCACTGGTGCAAGGACTGTGGTGGGGGGCAGTCCCACCTGATCCCCCCTTTTTATCACAAGTCCATGCCTCATGTGTTGTATTTTTTGCCCACACAGGTTCCATAGTCTCTGGCATCCTGCCACTTATGGCAGCAGAAGAGCTGAAAGGAACCAACCCATTCAGTTTCTGTACTCATATTCACAATGAGGATTAAATACATTATTATAATTTTAGGGGGTATCTGCACCATGACTGTGCCTTGCAGTATTTTGTTCCATTTTAATGTACCATTTGTTGTGTCTTGCCTGTTCTTTCTTCCTGTGATACACTCTGTACAATTGCAGTACACCCAGGCAAAGAAAAATTGCACCATGGGCTGTATGTGCAGGAATTCACAGGGGGCAAATAAGCCCCCCACCACCACTTACATTGGGAAAATGGCATGGGGGGGGAGAGAAGGCTGAACACAATACCTCCCCACCCAGCTGGGGCCCCTGTGATGCATGGGAAATTAGTTCCTAGCAACTGTCATCTGACTGAGAAGAATCAGAGTTGGGCTGAGGTTCAAACTTCACATCCAGGTGTGGACTGTATCCACAGTGAGGTTCCCAGTAGAACCTGGGCCATATCCTGAAAGCAAGGCATCACTAGTCACATGACCAGGAACAGTAGCAATTCTTTGTGGATGAGTTCACCATCTTTTCATCACATTTACTCAAGCTACCTTCTGACACAACTGCATTTAAGTGGGAAGATTAGTAAAAACAGCTGGTCTTGATAAAGAATCTCTGAATGCATAATGTTTTTATAAATGCATAACTTTTGATAAAAACAGAAATTATGAAATTATCATCATGGTAGAACTAAAATGCACAAGCTCTGCTGTTTATTATGATGTCATCTTACTGTCCGTTCACTGCATCCATCTTTATCTTGGAAGCTGTTCTTAATTATGATGATGAAGAAGAAGAAGATTTATTACCCCATTCTAGCTTGCACCAGGCTCTATACTACTAAAGGTAAAGGTTCCCTTGCTCGAAAGCCAGTCAAATCCGACTCTAGGGTTGCGGTGCTCCTCTCCGTTTCAAAGCCGAAGAGCCAGCGCTGTCTGAAGACGTTTCCGTGGTCATGTGGCCGGCATGACTAAACACCAAGGCGCAGGGAACGCTGTTACCTTCCCACCAAAGTGGTACCTATTTATCTACTTGCAATTTCTTGTTTTCGAACTGCTAGGTTGGCAGGAGTTGGAACTAGAGACGGGAGCTCACTCCATCATGCGGCACCTGGGTCTTGAACTGCTGAACTACTGACCTTCCACAGCCTGCAGTTCAGCGGCTTAACCACTTGAGCCACCGCAGCTCCTTCTATACCACTACAGCACAACAAATATGTACTTGGACATAATTTTTAATATGGATCTCACAGCTGAGTTGCTTGTTTCATTTGTGATCAAACAGAACAAAACAATTTTGAGTTTTTCAAGGAAATACTAGAAATTCGAATGAAAACTCTTATTTAGAATGTAAAACAGAACATTTAAAGCACTTTTACAGTCCCAGCAACACACGGGATTAAGCCTGGACTGGATCTTTACTAATATATTGCAATTGCATCCATCACTGAAGGCTGCTTAACACATTACATTTTTAAGGTACTCCTATATTTTACATGTACACCTAAAAACATAATTGTGCATCTGACACACAGCATGCATTGTATATGAGTGGCCTTGGCTTCTTGCAAAATATACGCACAGCAGCACAGACAAATTTACCATACAATACTTGATGTGGGAAGTACTCCTGACACAAGTAAATGAAATATACAGTAACCTCAAATACTGTTTGACGCCAGATGCATGTGTTCCTCTGGAATGCAGGAAAAGCCTGGAGTGCTCTTTGGCCCCATCAAGTCTGAATCTCATAACAACTTTGAAATGAGGTACTCAGATCAGCTTGGATGGAATTAACCCCCTTTTTACTGATATGGAAGAATCAGCAGTCTTAATACATATGGGTTCGAAGTGATGTTTCCAATTCTAACCCATCAGCATCCATCGCATAGCAACTGCTTTCTGTTGCAGAAGGATCACATAGATATGTTTCCTTGAACAGCTTGATCAAAAGGCAAATTAAAATTCTGCTGTAGTGGGGAAAAATAAAAAGAACTTCCCTCCTTTTTGCATGAAAAAGCTTTTACCTTCCCCCAACTGCAGAAGTACTTTCTTCTAATGAGAAGTGTCTAAAACTCAAGAATCCAAACACTATAAGGCCTCTTCCTCTGAATCATGATCACTGTCTGGTTTGGTGAGTCTCTCGAGCTCTTCTCCATCCTAAAGAAAACAAATGCAGAGGATGAAATGCAACATTAAAGGTTTTCATAAGTATGTATGAAATACTTTGTTTTTGTGAAGCTACATCAGTGATGCATTCTACAATCCTACACAGTTACACCCTGCTAAGTCCTTTTCTCATGGACCTAGAAGGGTGTAGCTCTAGTTAGGACTGCACTGGCAGAGAATTTTTTGTTTACTGGGATTTAGATGGAGGGACAAGGAGAATAAAGGGCAGGCACCATTCATGGATAATTTGTATGTAAATGTGTTAGAAATGGAAGCATTCATCTGATCACTTTTTAACAATATCGCTTGATAGAAGATTTCACTGCAAACAGCACCACCTGGTGTCCAATACCCTCAAACAGCAGCCACAGCCACAGTTGAGTCTACAGAAATCAATGGGTTTAAGCACATTCTAAATATATGTTTTAAATGATAGTAAAACAAGAGGAACAATATTCGGAAGTTGTAGAAAAAACCTTGAGAAGGAAATTTTCTAGCTATTGTTTGCCTCTTTTTAATTTACCCTGAAATTACAAGATTCTAGAATTCCTGGGTAGTTGGGATAATGGGGTTTTAAATATTGTATGGGAAAACAAAGGCCAAACATTGAGAAATTATTTATTGAGTGCTTTACAGCCTCTTGTGCCAAATGACTGCAGCCAGGAAAGCTGAAATTTTCAAAATCTCTATCACCTAAGATACGCTAATAATATATATGTGTCAATATTAATAATCATCATATGCAATAATGCAATCAAAATTATGGATTAAAGGATTAGGTTATGTTCCCTAAAACTTTTCACTGTTGATAAAAGGTGCAACTGTTTGACACAATGGCACCACTATAGAAAAGTAAGAGTTCAACAGCAAAATATAAAAAGGATGGAAGAGACTATAAGTGGTGGGCAAGTATCACAAAGGAAGCTCCTACCTCTGATACTTGACCCTTGAATACTTAGCCTCATCTCCTGCAATGCAAGTGCCATTAACACTGTTATGCCACAGCCCACCAAAAAAAAAAACCTAAGTGGTGTGGCAGTGCTGTATATCATAGATTTTTTACAGCATGCAGAATTTTTCAAGGGAGTAAGGCAGCACAAGAGAGAGAAACACAGGACCACAGGCAGCACATTTTACCACATCTTCAGAGCCACTGGAGTAAAACCACCGACCTTTGATGCCATTGTTCTGTGGGCAAATTACCACAGAGAGGAAGTTAACAGATATTGGTATTGACAAGTGGCATACAGCCACCCGTTTTCCAGGGACAGGATGCTGTTTAGCCACTGCAGAAAAACCTATCTGCTTAAATCTGACGCCATCCCAGCTTTAGGGGTGGGATAGGGTCAGAATGCAACACTTCAAACCTTACCCCACTGGAGCGCTCCCATGTACCTCCTCCAAGTTTGCTCCTCTCCCACTGTGTAGTATATTCTGTGCATCGAGGGCTGCTGGAATGGTAGATGAATATGGACAAAAGTACCACAGGAGCCTCCAAGAAGAACTCCATAGAAGGTTTGAAGTCAAAAACAAAGACAGACACGGTGGTTATGATCACAGTTGTAACTTGTGCAGTCAGAACATGAAACATGTTGTCTCGGAATTTCAAGATGAAAGCCACTGAGAGCCCGAGGAAAGCAGTGACAAAAATAAGGGCTACGGAGAATGTGTTGTGGCCATAGAAGAACCCACAGAACTCTATCTGGCCTCGATGTTCAGTGCGCAGGCCCAGTATCAGGGCATTGAACATAGCTCCGAAAAGGTACAACTTAGTGTTCTGTACAAAGATGTTTTCACTGAACTGGCCACCTTCTTTCAGTATCTTTTCATTATAAATGTTGGCTAGAGCAGAAATAAAGCACTGCAGTAGTATGAGCAGATGTCCTAGACCAAGCTGAAGTGATGTCAAGACTCCTGTGGCAGTGGTGGTGATGTTCCAAGTGAAACTGGGGAAGAGCCACGGTGTTGTGCAATTTTCTCTCCCCCAGCATTCATCCTCCGGCTTCGTGTACTGCAGGCAGTGGTTAGATGGGCTGAAAAAACTATCATGGTGAAATCCATGCACCGCCAAGCTATGGTGGTTGCTTCCAGTCCCCGCAGTAAGGGCTATGATAGACAGGAACAAAATCAGGAGAGAGGCCCATTGCACCCAGGAGAGCTGCCGTCTGTGTGTAGACAAGAAAGGGCTTTAAGCATGCAGAGAGAGGCAATGAAAAGATCACCAGAGATAAAACACACACCTTATTCATTAAAACATCTACAAAGCCATGATCTCCCCACAGCTCCCTACAGTGATCAGACAGTATGCTTAGTGACTCATGCTACGACACATAAACCAAAAGACAGAACACTAGACTAGATATGTGCAATATTCAAGTTTAGAATATATACCTTATTTACCTGGGGAAAGTATTTAATTGGCTCAATAAATTTGTTTGCATTAGTTGAAAATGTATAAAAGCTGCAGCAAGGATGGGATAGAATATCATTTAACAGAATAGGAAAGCTATTTATGTTCAGAGAACTAAAAACATAATATAATGGTGAACAGATCAAATATTATAGGAATAGTACTCAGTCCTGAGGATTAGATGTTGCAGTTGAAAGCTATCATAAACTGAGTGGACAAGGCATACCATGTTCAAAATGCTGAAGAAAACAGATTACTTTAAGGAGGATTTATAACCTCATTCCTCTAAATTGATTTGTGCTCTAAAGAGACCTAACGATCTATGTCACCTTATTAGCAGCTTGATCCTATACAGGCTTACTTAAATGTAACTCTCACCAAGTTCAGCGGAACTAACATCCAAGCACATACACTCAGGACTGCAGTTCTCATCAATAACAGCCAGGAATGGAACTGGCGTGGACACTAATGCATCAAAGCTAAAATGCTACTGAATTTACTTGGGTTTGCTTTTTATTTCAAATACCATTGATCTTCATTTACAGACTTTTAAAGAAAACCTGGCAACACCAACAGTGGAAATAGAGCAATGACTAAGGAAATTGTTTCCATAGCTACTTACTTCAGGACTATCCTGAACAGGAGAGCAGTTGTTATAATGACAAAATTTGAGAACAGCACAGCCATGGCCTAGAAAAAAAGGTGTCAAGGAATAAAGTTACATGTAAAATGCAACCTAGAAATAGGATATATATATATCAGCTGACAGTGCTTCGTTATCAAGAAGTCCGAACACCCAAGCCTGATAGCACAGCCAAGATTGTTCCATCTAAGCAAAACTCCTCAGCTTGTAATACAAGAAGGAATCAGAGAATCCCCAGTTGATGAAAAAAAATTAAGAACTGCACGTGAATGTCAATAAATGCTAGTTTCCTGAGAAGGCCCTGAAAACTGGCATTTGTACATCTCAAAGCACTAAGGAAAGAAGGAATACAAGGAGCTTGCACTTGTTCTTTCTGTACTTTTCTTGCAGTGTCCAAAAAGATTTTACTCTTGCTTTTTTTTCTCTGTGCTCCAAAAATTCAGACCCATAAGCCTATTTCATATATTACAAGGGAAGGAGGAAAGCAGCAGAACAAATTGTTTGTGTTTCTGTTCTTTGCTGGCACAAACATCACAGCTGGGAGGAGGAGATGCTTTAACTGAATCTCCCCTTCTTAATGCAGCCCCTACTATTGCAGCGTGTTTTGTTCACGAAGGTTCCCCAACCGTCAGGGCCCACTTCTGTAAGAAGCACCAGGCTTCTGGGGGAAGGGGGAAGATCAGGTCTGACAGCTCCTTCTACAAGTTATTCTGCCTCATCCATCCCCAACAGAACTGAGCACAAAACATAGAACACCCCCTTCCTTTGCCTAATATTATTATTTCATGGTGCCAGTTTGAGGCATGTAGATTCTGTTATTTAACAACAAAACTTGTGCCTCTTCTCTTATCCCTTAGTTTGACAGTTGGCAGTTACTAACTGCTGGGACTTCAGAGAAGTGAAATAAGCAGCGATCAAGAACTACAGCTGAGGCCCATACCATAGCAGGAGAACAACTGGGTCATTGATTGTGGACATCTTTGTAGTAAAAGTGCCCATGTTACTTCATGACTGGCTTATGGCCTCTTCTGCAGGACTTGGCTAGTGACTTTCTACAGCTAATAATTAACCATTCTAGGTTCTAATTTAACTTGTACTTTTGCAGGAATTCTGGACCATCTGTGTGGTTTTATGCTCTTTATACCTTATTCCTCTTCTGTTTCCCCTCCCCTTTGGAATTCTCCAAAGAGAGATTCCACATCTTTACCAGGAAACAGCTTCAAATATTTACTCTATTCATCCCGCTCTATTATTAGTGATAAGCAGGGCTCTTTTTGTAGCAGGAACTCCTTTGCATCATCTAATATGCAAAGGAGTTCCTGCTACAAAAAGAGCCCTGGATAAGGGAGGAGAAAAGTTGTCATTGCTACTGTTCTAGATCGGGGTAGCCAAATTTTGTGTTCTCTGGAGTCACTTGTACTCATGGCACTCTGTACTCCAGTCAGTTATCTGGGATCTGATCGTATTTTGTCACACAAGTTCACTTCTTTTGAGTGGTCAAGCACCAGATAAAAATGGCCCCATGCAGCACTAAGTACTTCCAAGTTAAGGAGCACATACATACTCAAGCTTTTGCAACACTGAATTACAGAATACCTCTATTTGTTATCATCTGAAATCATTATTTTTTTCTTCATGGGTGAAGTCATTACTTATACTAACGCTTTTTGATTAAAATTGCATTGGGCTACCTGGGGCCAGAGAAAACTGCTATTCCTATTATGCCCATGTGGGTATTTGAAAATGTATGCCACTGTTCCCATTTTTAACCTTTCCAACTTGCATTATAGTGTTGCGCCACAATCAGACATAAGACATCACATAATAATTATTTCCATTTATATAATGCTTTCAGAGTTCAAAGCATACATTATCTTGTAATCTTTACAGCAGTCCAGTAAGGTAGGCCAGTAATATTATTGCCATGCTGCAGATGGTGGAGGGGGTGGCTTTCCTAAAATAACCTTCTTGGAGAAGCAAGATTTAAACCAGGGATTTCCCAGATTGCAGCTCACTCTCCTAGCCACCTATTACATTAGCACAGGATGCCAAGAGAATTATTACACATGCCGCATGAAAACATTTTTGTTGAAATAATCAAAACGCATCCTGGTTTTACTCAGGACAAATGTCTCATAACCCACCAGTCTAGCTGCCCGCAGCATTTCTAGTTCACCTAATCAGGTTAAAAAAAAAGTATAGTACTCCCAGTTAAAGCTTATGATTTGATCTGAACTTATCACAGGTAATGTCGATATAGGACACCATAAGTCTTGGACCATAAGACTACCATAAGATTTCTGAATAAATAGCCTGTATTTCTGAAGTGATACTTACTGGCTGGAGGTAGGAGAGCACATAAAAAACAATCAGATTATCCAAAAAATAAAGAAAGGCAGGTATTGACCATTTAATGTAGCTACAGAATTGCCTCCATGAACCGCAGCCAAATCCACTATGAGAATATCCTCCTAAAAAAAAAAAAATTAAAGAAATGAGAGAAGGAATAAGTCAAACGTATCCTGCTTGCAAACATATATGTACTATGCCCTAATTTCCACAATTGTCAGAGGTTTTAAAGAAACACAAAGGTCTGGCTCCTATCCATCACCCTCAATAGGAGAGGGTGAGTTGACTCCTTTGCCCCTCTCCATCTCCTAATGAGGCTCTAAGGCCACATCGATCTTATGACATCTGAAATCCAGTTTCTGGGGATCAGAAGGGACTGTTGGAGGAGAATGCATCATAAGCTATATCAGAAAAGCAATCTTTGGGTCAGAGTTGGATCAATTTAAATTTTCTTTCTGATATGTTAAAAGAGTCACATGGTGACTTTACCTTTTATGAACAAAGTGAAAAAAAGAAAAGTGGAAAGCTTTCACTTTAGAAAAAAAGGCTAGTTTTCAAATACTATCCCTGTTTCAGTTTATCAGATGGAGGCCGTTCCACACAAAAGCCTCAACACATGAAAAATGACATGATGAACTCATAATGTAAGTAATGTCATGTGAAAAAAGTGTGACTTAGGCCTGGAAGCTTGCATGATGGAGTACACGATGTAGTAGGAAGCTTGCATGATGTAGTGGCACATAATTACAGCTAAGCACAAGCACAACACACTACAAAGTGTGGGAATATAGGTAAGTTGCAAACAATGTCAGTGTTCTAATAGATTACATGAGATCCAGTTCTTCAGACATTTATAGGCTGCGGTCACACACACACGAAATAATCTACTTTCAATCCACTTTTGAATTGGATTTTGCCAGTTCACACAGTAAAAATCCAGTTGGAAAGTGCATTGAAGGTAGATTATTTAGTGTGTGTGCCCGCAGCCATAGTCTTGTTTTGATACGATGAATTACAATTATGAAATCTAACACACATGCATGTATGTGAAAGTGCCTGGATGCTGAAGTGGCACATTTTCTTCAAGCAGTCTCTCAACCCAACTTTGCTGGCTTTATTTGTAAAATACATCAATCCTAGACAAGAGGAGATCAAAATGTGAATTAAAAAAAGGTAGCAACAAAAAAAGAGATGGAGTAAGAAGTTCCCTCATCCCTTGAGCTCAATTGCATTTGAAAAAAAGATAATTGATGTACACTGGACATTTTTCACCAATAGCATGAGCCACTTTAAGCTACCCCAGGAATTAGTATTCACCTATTTGACAGGCTGGTTTCTTCAGTCATCAGATTCTGATGCCACATCACAAATTACTTTTCCGATTTCCTTTCTGTTTCAAAAGTCCTGTTCAGTGTTTCATGTGGGGCTGCTATTCAAGAAACAAGTGCCTGCCCTGACCTGGATAGCCCAGGCAAGCCCGATCTCATCAGATCTCAGAAGCTAAGCAGGGCCAATCCCGGCAAGTATTTGGATGGGAGACCTCCAGGGAATACCAGGGCTGGGAGGCAGAGGCAGGCTATCAAGCCCCTTCTCTGAACATCCTCCATGCCCCAGTAGGAGTCACCAGAGATCACCATGACTTACACACACACACAAGGAAGGAAGGAAGGAAGGAAGGAAGGAAGGAAGGAAGGAAGGAAGGAAGGAAGGAAGGAAGGAAGGAAGGAGGAGGAGGAGGAGGAGAAGGAGAGATTGGATTTATACCCCACCCTTCACTTGGAGTCTCAGAGCGGCTTAGAAACTCCTTTCTCTTCCCCTCCCCACAACAGACACCCTGTAAGGTAGGTGGGGCTGAGAGAGCTCTGACACAAACTGCTCTTTTTCAAGGACAGCTGTGCCAGAGCTTGTGACTGACTCAAGGTCACATCAGCAGGTGCAAGTGGAGGAGTGGGGAATCAAACCTGGTTCTCCCAGATTAGAGTCCACACACTTAACCACTACACCAAACTGGCTCTCCCCCTTGGAGGCACAAAAGCAATTGTATGGCTCTTGAGATTCTGACCACTCTCTAAAAAAGTGAATTTCCTGATATTTTGATTTATAAAACAGTGAAAAATGAGTAGTAAGACTTTTTTTTCATGGAAGAACAAAAAACACTTATTTAGTCAATTTTAATGCCACTCTGAATCTATTTAAGATTCTTTATAAGCATTAAGTCATCTGGGCTACAGTCCAAGGAATTACTGATATAGTCTATTGACTAGAACACAGAGACAGGAAATATTTTTCTTAAGAGCTCTACTAATACAAGCCTTACTGTAGCCAAAATGTCAAATCTAAACAAAAAAGGCAAAAGCACAGAGGGGCCACGAGGCCACTTCTTCGGACCAGAGCGCCCAAAGTGCTTCCTGGCCCCTTCCTGGCTCGGCTGTCTTTGCGGCCGGGCTAGGAAGGGGCCAAGGGGGCTCTGGGCGGCTTCTCCTGGTCTTCCGCCTTGATGGGAGGGCAGGAGAACCCAGGGGGAGGACCTGAAAGGGCTCCCCGGGCCCCTCTTGACTTGCTGGCCTCGGCGGCTGGGCCAGGATGGGGCTGGGGGACCTCTGGGCGGCTTCTTGTGCTCTGCCGCCTCGCCCGGAGAGCTAACGGGGAGGGCTGCAAACGGCCCCCCGGCCCCTTCCTGCCTCGCTTGCCTCGACGTGCTGGCGAGGAGGGGGCGGGGGGCCTCTGGGCGGCTGCTCCCGCTTGCCTGCCTTGGAGGGCTTTCCCCGCACATTGGCCTCGGTGGCCGGGCAGGGAAAGGTGGCCCGGAGGCCTCCGGAGGTCGTCCGCACCCACCTGTTGCATGGGGAGGATGAGCAAGGCGGCCCTGACAAGGGGAGGGGTTCTCAACCGCCTCCGCTTCCAGTGGCCTGCTCAGGTTTCCTGCAGCTGCGGGGAGAGCGAGAGGCAGGTGGCTCTGAGTGGGAAGGGGAGGCGGCTCCAACCGTAGCTCCCTCCATGGGCTTGCTCGGCTTCCCAGCTGCTGGAACGTCCATCCTGCCTGGTGGCTCCCTGCACACTGAGGGTGAGACGCTGGGCTGCGGCTCTGTGGGCAGGACCGAGCCAACGCAGCAACGGAAGCTAAGCAGTGGCCAGGGACCCACCTGTGAGTAACAGTTGAGGTGGCCAACTGATTTTGGTGTGAATGGAATCTCGCCACCCCATAGGACAGAAGCCACCCCAAATCAGCTTTATAATATAAGGAGATAGTCATACACTTTAATACAACCAAATTTGTGCAACTGTACAATGCAAAAGCCATTTTAAAAACTACAATATTCAATTTTCTCACACCATGCTGATTTTGTCTTTCAGCACAGTAAGATACACTGTCAATGCACCCAACGCAAGTCAATTTTTTTTAAAAAAAATAGCAAACTGACACCATATAAGAATGTAAGATATAACAACTTACCTTTCCTGGTTACCCAGAGTGCCATTATCAGACAGAGCACCAGCTTCACTAACTCTGAGCACACATTTACAGTTGCAGGAAGGTAATCATACTTGTTATCTGAAAAAAGTTAGCAGAGGCCTTATACAAAGTGTCACAGATATTTACACTGACCAAGCAAAAAAAAAAAAAAAAGCAATAAACAAGGACATTATGACTAATTTGTTCATGCATAGTACACTCAGCACAGATACAGATGTGGGATCTGGATCACCACCAATCTCTTCTCCGCCCCCTTTTTATTTAAAAAGCAAGCTTTTGACTGTAAAGCAATACATGAAAATATAGATTATGCAGAATAAAAATAATCAAAGAAGAAGAATAAAAAAACCTCAGCTGGCAAATGAGTCCTCAAGCAGAGTAAGGGTTCTCCATCCTACAAATTCACCTGCTCTCTCCACATCTCTCATTACACTCAGAAGAAAAATCAGGACCCCATACAGACTGAAAACACTTAATGCCACATATTGGCAGAGAACGTGAAAGCAGATAGTAAGCTGATAAAGATTAGTGGTAACCACAGAGGGTCAAATATCAAAATGTACCTTCATTGGCAGAGTATTTCATCAGGAGGATACGACTTGATCCCAGAGTAACAAAGGCACCTCCTAATAGGAGTGTATAGATGGCTGACTTGGACCATAAGGCAGGCTGATTGTAGAACTTGGACTCCATTCTGTTGTCTTGCTATCAGTGCTCTTTGAACGGCAAAGCAAAACTCTTATCAGGCAGCAATGTATATTTTATTGCTTTCTGGCACATTTAAATACACTGCTAGTGCTTTTCCCTATATATGTTGCATGAAGTTGGTGGACATTGAATCTGGATGTGAATACAATGGAGTTCAACAAGGATAAGTGCAGAGTTCTACATCACGGTAACAAAAATGAGAAGCACTCATACTGGATGGGGGACACATTTCTGGGTAGCAGTGCATGTGAACAGGTTCTTAAGAGTATGAGTGGACTGTAAGCTAAATATGGGCAGTCAGTGTTATGCAGCAGCAAAAAGGGCAAATGTGGTCTTGGGTGTATCAACACACGCATAACATACAAATCTCAAGATGTCATAGTCCCACTATACACCACATTGGTCAGGACACACCTGGAGTACTCTGTGCAGTTCTAGAAGCCTCACTTCAAAAAGGATGTCGACAGAATGGAGAGGGTGCAAAGGAGGGCAATGAAGACAACCAGGTGTCAGCTAAGCTGCCATGAGTGTGGTGGGTGTTTCCCTTTCATGTGCATTCTTTCCATGGCGCTTAATTGCCCCTTCACTGCAACGCATTTCTCAAGGCCGCTGGAGGAGTTGCTGTGTCTCTGCACAGTATGAGTCTTGGGAAGCTCTTACCTGTTTTGCTTTTGCAGCTGTTAGTTCCCAGCTTAATGCCCACGTGCGGGAACCCCTGTAATTGGGTACTACGTGGGGGGGGGTTGTATACGAATGCCCTATAACCTATTATGCGCATAGAACTCCCACCATTCCTAACAGTGTTCATGTTGCATCTATGGCTTTTCAATAAAGTAAAACCTTCTTGGAAGCGTGTACTTCGTTGTTTCACTGTGGGTCCTGACACCAGGTACCTGGAGACCAAGCCCTACAAGGACAGGCTGAGGGACTTTGGGAATGTTCAGTCTGGAGAAGAGTAGGGAGGTATAATTGCCCTCTCTAAGTATTTGAAAGACTGTCACTTAGAGGAGGACAGGAAGCTATTCCTATTGGCAGGAGAGGATAGGACTCACAATAATGGGTTTAAATTACAGGCAGAAAGGTATCAGCTGGGAAAGGTTTTTTAGAGTAAGAGTAGTTCAGCAGCTGAATTGGCTGCCTAGGAAGGTGGTGGCAGTCTTCAAGCAGCAGCTAGACAAACACTCATTAGGCATACTTTAAGTTGATCTTGCATTGAACAGTGGCTTGTATTAGGTGGCTGGTAGGGCTCCTTCCAACTCTATGATTCTAAATTCTCCTTTGCAGTATGCAAAGAGACATGGAAGACTATTTGGGGGACGCTAATATTTCTTGTATTACTATCACTGAATAATTTTATTTCATTTGTTTCATTTATACCCCTCCTTCCTCTCCTGTAGGGACCCAAAGCAGTTTACATAGTGCTCTGCTCTTCCACTTTACCCGCACAGCAACCTTGTGAGGTAGGTTAGGCTGAGTGTGTGTGACTGGCACAAGATTATACATTAACCTTCCATGGTAGAGTGGGGATTTGAACCTGAGCCTCTCAGATTCAAGTCCAACTACACTGTCTCTCAACAAGAATATACACAAATATAAAGAATATTAATAGTACATGCACTACTGGCACTACTACTCTAAACCTAAGACAATTAAGGCTTATTCTGTCTGAAATATTTTCGGACAAAAGGTACACATTGAGCAATAACAACTAAAAATGTTGCCTTGTGCTCAGTAAGAACTTAGTCCATCGTTTCTATAAGTAAAAATATATTTTGGCAATTCTCTAGTTATCAGCTATGGCAACCCATACATTTATAAAATTTCTATACTAGTTTTCATTTGATGCTATGGAAGTTGTGTAGGAAAATAATCAGCTAAAACAATTAAAACAATAGTGAAGACTTGAAATGACTTCTGATGAAGGTTAAAGCAGAAAGTCCCAAAGCAGGATTGCAGCTGAACATCAAGAAGACAAAAGTAATGACTACTAGGGAATTACACAACTTTAAGGTTGACAATGAAGAAATTGAAATTATTCAACATTTCCTGTTCCTTGGCTCCATCATCAACCAAAAGGGAGGCTGCAACCAAGAAATCAGAAGACTGAGACTGGGCAGGGCAGCCACGAAGGAGGTAGAAAAGATTCTTAAGTGTAAGGATCTGTCACTGCAGACCAAGACCAAGGTAAATCATACGACAGCATTCCCTACTACAATGTATAGGTGTGAAAGCTGGACAATGAAGAAAGTGAACACGAAGAAAGCTGACTCATTTGAAACGTGGTGTTGGAGGAGAGTTTTACGGATACCATGGACTGCCAAAAAGACAAATCTAGCCTGAACTTTCTCTAGAAGCTAAAATGACTAAACTGAGGTTATTGTATTTTGGTAATATTACAAGAGTCACTGGAAAAGACAATTATGCTTGGAAAAGTTGAAGGCAGCAGGAAAAAGAGGAAGACCCAACAAGAGATGTACTCTGTCAAGGAAGCCTGTTAATGGTAGGACATTTTGAAGGTCATTAATGCATAGGTTCACTGTGTCAGAACCAACCTGACAGCACTTAACATGTACAGAATACAATTAACGCATCAAAACCACATTAACTAATATAAAACATCCAACCAAAGAATCAAAAGCAACAGAGTCAGACAAAGAACATAAAGGAACAATGAACTCTCAAAAGTATAACAGAACAGGGATGCCATTACTTATTTGTGGAATGCTATAATGGCATTCCAAAGCTCCTGTTTATGGGAGCATTAGGGGCTTTTAAATAAATACAAATTTGAAGCAGGGTTTCATAGGTTAATCTAAAACTTCAGGGAGACTGACATGGGAGGATATACTCCTTGAGAAAGCCTGAACCTACTTTATTTAGGACTTTATGTAAAAATCGTCATGTTATATTATTTATTTACTTAGATTTGTACCCTGCCCTCCCTGCCGCGGCAGGCTCAGGGCGGCTAACATCATAAAAACACAATACAATAAATACATAAATATCTAAAACAATTCATTAAAACTAACTTACATCATATAAAGTGCTAGCGACTAACTTATGGTATTGAAGATGGTGACTTACGGTATTAAAGATAGTTCCTGTATAGACATTCATTTTAAACATGCAAACACAACTGTAGCTAATATAATTGTTTCTACACTTGTGTCATATGACTGTGCTGAGTTACACTCAGTACCAATTAGGCAGCAACATCCTGTACCAACTGAAGTTTCTGAATAATCCTCATGGACTGATCTGTGTACAGAGCATTACAATAGACTAATCTAGAGATCACCAAGGCATGAAGGACAGTAGTCAGCTTTCCCATTAATGGTATTCAAACCCTTGTCTCTCCAAGCACTAACTAAATATTTGCAAATAAATGAATTCAGTCATTAAACATAGGAGGGGGAGCCAGCACTGACTTTCTTATATTAAAAAGCAAATTCTCTGAGGATATTTACCAAATTAACAATACAGTTCTAAGCAGAGGTACACCCTTCTGAGCCCATTGACTTCAGTGTACTGTTTAGGATTGCCCTCTAAGACACAAACCTACGCTGAACACAATAACATTTTATCTAGGAAGCAAATCTCATCCAATACTTTCCTGTCCATATGCCGAAACAAATTCATGGTTTTATACCCCATTTTAGTTTTGTCTGAAAAATTAAACTGTTGTCAGTCAAATACATCAGGCCACTCGATTCATGAACTGATAGACTCTTAGTACTATATCAAAGCTAAAAAAAAAAAAGACTGATCCAGTGGGTATGCCCTTAAGGGATTTCTCTTGGAATCTGGGTGCACTGATCCAGCACAACGCACACATCAGGCTGAAGAAACAGATAACACAATATGGGATGGAGCCAGTGGAGGATGTTGCACAAAATGGTACAACACTGCAACTCTTTTGCAGGAACTCCTTGAAACACTTCTGGTACAATGGTAAAGGAGTCAACAGGCATTCGTGGAAGTTCTTGTGAGGGACATTCCCTGTAGCTACTGACAGCTGACCTCACACCAACTGACCAACTCACCAGCTGACCAACTCAAGATCAGTAATGCTGTCATTCAGGGTGTATGCAGACTTTTTTTAAAAAATAAAAGGAGCAATGGGCATGATTTATCTTTCAGCATTATCTGCTTGCTAGCCTTAATTACATAGTGACACAGCATGATAACTGTTCAACCATTCACATGAACCTTACTGCAGGGTGGCTAGCCCTGCTTCCATACTGGAAAGGAGAGAAGCTCAACTACTACCTTAAAAATTGATCTTCAAAGAGTGGAGAAGAAGGATAGCTTTCAATAATTTTGCAGTGCTTTCTTTTGTTCCTCAAACAAAAAAACTAATCATTTACACAAATATTGTTTCATCTGTGCATTGTTATTTTGTAAAAAACCGCAATGTACTGCATGTTGCTGCAGCTCTTATATAAATAAATAGATACTGCATACACAAGTGGAACTGCACCAATTACATTTCCCTTTCCCTCACACATTGCTGGATCCAACCCATGATCATAAGAATTTACACTTATGAATCACATTTCAAGTATCTAAAGTATCTCATGTACACTGTTCTTTCAACAACTATATAACACAGATGGATACTAAATATTATAGCCAACATACTGCAGACAGGGACTGAGTTGCCACCTCTTGGGCCTTTAAAAACAGCGTCAACATACACTTTCCCCCTATTTCTATGGTAACAATTTTTTTTCCATGTTAAACTTCTGAAGTTCATACTGCTGTTAAAAGCATACTTTGGCCACCAAATGAGAAGGGAGCACTCACTGGAAAAGAACCTGGTGCTGGGAAAGACTGAAGGTAACAAAAGAAGGGGGCGGCAAAGGATGAGATGGTCAGACAGTGTTACCGATGCAACGAACACGAAACTGAGCAAACTCCAGGGGACGGCGGAAGACAGGAGGACCTGGCTTGATGTGGTCCATGGGGTCGCAAAGAGTCGGAGTCGACTGTGCGACTGAACAACAAAAAAAAGGATGTGACAAGTTCCAGATATTTAGCCAAGTCAGGCAAAAACTAGCTAGAGTTCTGTGATGTGAAATACTTTTTTTTTTAAATGCAGCATAACCTTTCGTGGACTAGAAACCACATTCTCAGATTAAACAGGGCATGGATCCTTGATTGGCAGACATTTGTACGTATGTACCGGTATGGAGGAATAAAATATAAACAGAGAGAAACCAAGAACAAATGCAAGAACGTGGCCACTTTAGTGGGCAGCTTTGGGCTGAGAGTACAGTGGCTTGGCTAAGACCACCTACTCATGGTCGAGATGTGAAACAAGGATGGTGTTAGCCATCCAGAGCTGGGTCACCCCCATGAATTCAGAATACAAAATAAAGAGCCCGCCCAACCGCGTTCACACCACCCTCTCCTGGAAATGTTCTTCCTCCAACATAGGCAACTTACGCTATCATTGCACAATAAGAGACGGAGGAGGAGTGCTTGTTTTCTTCCGAATGGCCGCGGTTACCTGACGGCTGTTGGTTTTCTCTCTCCGGGCATTTTTTTTCTCCACCTGTCTCAGCTTCTCGCTGCTTACCCCTCCGCAGAGGAATCCAGGCAGCCGCTTCCCTCCGCCCTTTCCTCTCATCACGTGACACCGGCCCCTTTTGACAGAATACAGCAGTAGACTGACAGAGGCGGACCGCCAGCTTCCCCCTCCGCCCATTTCTCTTTCCTGCGCAGGCGCAACGGCCACCTCCGGGAACAGAAAAAGACAGCGGCCAGGGGAAAGGGAGGGTCAGTAAGGTCACGTGTTAGGGTACCCGTTCATGTGATCCCTCCATTGGAGACAGTAGGTGGAGGAAAAAGCATTGGTGGTTGTGGTCTTCCGGAAGGTGGAAAGGCGCCGTTTGGGTGCTTGCTCGGGTTTGGTTGCTCCGCGCAGGTGACAGGGGTGCGCGCGCTCCCCGGCTGGTTTGCCTGCCTGCGGGACGAGGCAGGATGCAGAGCGTCATCAACACTGTGAAAGGGAAGGCGCTGGAAGTGGCCGAGTACCTGACGCCGGTGTTGAAGGTGAGGCACCGCCCACATAAGCCCCACGGGATGGAGTGGCTGGGCGGCTGTTGCAGGAAAGGAGTGCGGTCGGGCTGTGAAGAGAGACACCCTTCTCTCTTTCTTCTCCCTCAGTGACGCCGTTAGGACCACATTGGACGAAGGAGGGCCCCCCCCCCCGGGCAGGCTCGCTGCTTCGGAGAACTCCATAGGGTCGACGTACCTACGCCCGTATTTGCTTGATACTTATACCCCACTTGTCTCCCAGGTGGGGATCCAGAGTGGCCGCCTTGCAGCGTTCTCCCGATTTCCATTTTACCCTCACAATAGCCCTGTGAGGCAGGTTGGGATGAGTGTCTGACTGGCCCGAGGTCACCCAGTAAATTTCCAAAGCAGAATGGGGATTTGAGCCTGGGTCTCCAAGATCCTAATCTGACATCCAAGTGCCACACCATGCTTGTTTTCTTTCTAGTGGGCCAGTTGACCTTGGATGCCCAGGACGAAGTACAAGACCCTTCTTCAAGTTCTTTTTTTAAAAAAAGTACCCGAGGGTACACTTTTATTATTTTTTCCCATTATATACTACATACATACAAACAACCCCCAACTACCCCCCACAACATATAACATATAACAAGAGACTTTATTATTTCTTCTGCTTATTAAATTTCTAAATTTGTTATCTATTTTACTAATCTTATCTTTTCTGCGTTCTCAAATTACTACATTTATCTATCAGTTACATTTACATTATACCAATCGTAGAATCTCTTCCAAGTTTTTTTAAAAGTCCATTCTGTACCGGCTCTCATCTCAAGTGTCAGTTTGTCATTTTCCGCCGTTTCAAATAGCTTGTTCACGTACTCTTATTTCGTTGGTATTTCCATTATTTTCCAATATTTGGCATATACTATCCTTGCAGCTGTCGACATATGAACTATCAAATACCTATCTGCTTTATCAACCCTTCTTCAAGTTCTTGGTGCACTGCAGACAACTTCCAGAAGGCAGGTTGTCTCACTTTGTGCTGGATTTATTTATTTTAATTTATTTACATTATTTAGTCCATCTTTCTCACAGGGACGCAAGGTGGATTATGCGTAGTGAGTCAGTGCAATCAACAAAATGGGGCATTCAGTAGCCAATGTATTGGGATTTTAGAAATCTGGGACCACCAGAAGGAGCTGAAGCAGAGCATAGGTATTAACATGACCCATTAAGCAGTACAAAAATGATATAATACGATCCTACTTAACAGTAAACTGTACGCACCAGTATAGACCACAGTCCCTAATCATTTATCCAACTACGTTTGTGAACCTATTTTGTGCAATACAGCCCTATTACCTGTACAGAAAGACCCTCTTGAATAGTTCAGTTTTTTAATAGTTTGTGGAAAGCCAGGACAGTGGGAGCTTTCCTGATCTCCTCAGGCAGGCCATTCCACAAGGCGGAAGCTACAATGAAGGAAGCATGTGTATGGACAATTGTTCATTTCGCCTATTTGTAGGTTGGCACCTCCAGAAGCCCCTGCTGACATGAGCAAAGTTGTGGCAGAGCATAGGGGGAGAGGTGATCCTGCAAATAAGAGGGGCCAAGGCCATGTAGGGCTTCATTTGTGATAGCCAATACTTTAAACTGAGCCTGAATGGGAGTAATGTGCATGATCTCTGTCTATCTCCTGCTAATAGCTGAACTGTGGCATTCTGGGCTAGTTGGAGATTCCCAACTGATTTTGAGGGGAGACCAATACACGGTGCAGTACAGTAGTCTAGTCTTGATGTTACTGAGACTTGAATTAGGTGGCCAGATCAGCCATATCAAGGTAAGGGGTTAGGCTGAGTTGGTAGAAAATTATCTTTTTTTTGCAGCTGCATTAACTTGCTTCTCCAGTAATAGGCCTGCCAAATCTCCCCAAATTGCGGCGGGGGATCTGCATGTCATTGCAGAATCCTTGCTGCGGGGACGACGAGACGCGTTGCACCGCCGTCGCCAGTACATGACGCTATGCATTGCTCTGGCAACGGGGCTGTTTGGAGCCCTGTTGCCAGAGCGACGCGTAGCGTCAGATCCTGGCGACAGCGGGCGCAATGCGTCTCGCTGTCCCCGCGGCAAGGATTCTGTGAAGACCTACACCCCCCCGCCGCGACTTGGCAACCCTATCCAGTAATAAAGCTGGATCTCATATTAGCCCAAGGCTTTTCACTAAATCAGCAAGGGTCAGCTGAACGCCATCAAAAGTGGGGAGAACAATGTCCTTCAAGACCTCCTCCTTTTTTCAGGGTTTAATTTTAGTTTGATAACCAACCTAAGAGCTTTACATAGAGGCTGAAAAGCATGGGGGATGCAATTGTATCCTGTGGAACCCCACACAATAGGTCCCACTAGGGCTGCCAAGCCGCGACAGGGGATCCGTGCGTCTTCACAGGATCCCTGCCACGGGGGACAGTGATACGCGTTGCACCGCCATCGCCAGGATGTGACGCTATGCGTCGCTCTGGCAACGGGACTCCAAACAGCCCGGTTGCCAGAGCGACGCGTAGTGTCACATCCTGGCGACGGCGGTGCAACGCGTATCGCTGTCTCCTGCGGCAGGGATCCTGTGAAGACGTGCGGATCCCCCGCCACGGCTTGGCAGCCCTAGGTCCCACACCAATGACAACTGATTTTCAATAGCAACCCTTTGAGTCTGATGAAGAATGATTGAACCATTTCAGCACATGTCTTCTGCCTCCAGGCATCTCAACAAGATGGCATGTTCTACTGTATCAGGCTTCAGATTAATCCAATAAGAGCAACAGAGAGGCTTGGCCTTTGTCTACACTCAAATGGAGGTCATCAATTAAAGCTCACAGAGCTGCAAAGATGCTGTGCCCCTCCCATAGATTAAACAAAATCGTCAAACATTTCATGGGCAGGACAGCTCAAACTACATACGATACGTTACATTCTTTTGGGAGTTAGGGTTCCTATACATGTTTTGTAATGCATAATGTATTTATTCAAGTATGCAGAAATTACAAATTAATTTAGTAGTAATGCTTTAAATCATATATAGGAATCTTAAGCTCAGTAAAGTAAATGAGGGTTATGGCTTCAAAGAATAGGCTCCTAAGCCAACTTTGTGGTGTTTATGAGGAAGAACAAAAGTAACACTGATTGTGACCCTTGACCTATGTATTTCTAATTTCCTCCCCCTTCATGTAAAACATCTGATTCTGAATTTCCTGCTTTATACAGTTCTTTAAACTGAAGATACATCCAGGTTAAGAGAAAATAAAATGTAGCCTTCCCACTAGCTTCTTTCCTAATTTTATTTTTAATTATGGACCAAATCATATGTATGATCTAGGTGACTGAAGAATTTGAAATGTGTGTGTGAAAACCAAGAATGGTCAGGAACTGTCCTGGACAAAGCTTGCAGTCATGTAGCAAGAACAGCATTCTGCATTGATTTCATTCTTGTACACTGAAGGGTAGTGAAAAAGTATCCTAGAATGAAACTGAAAGAGTATCCAATTCTGAAAGAGTATCTGGGACTTCTATAATATTTGCAAGTACTTTTCTAAGAAGTTGGGAACCTTTTAAAATTTTTGTCATATTTATATCCTGTGCTTCCTTCAAGGATTCAGGATGGTATATGCAAGGCTCTGTAAGTGTTACCACAACAGCTTTCTGAAGTACTGAGTGCAGAGAGGGAATATGAACCTGGGATTTCTGTATCTGTCCTTACAGTTGTTGTTGTTGTTGTTGTTCAGTCGCACAGTCGAGTCCGACTCTTTGCGAGCATTTGCAAGGGGACATGTTGTTTTTAAATGCTTAGAAATTCCTTAATCTTATACACTTATTTTTCATATCAGAGTGAAATGTTTGTGCTAGCATCTAATGATGAAGTGTGTTAAAAACAGTTTAAGCAGGAAACCCATAATTTCCTAGCATATTCAAAATTATTATTTAATAGAACAGTATTTTGTCCAGCACTGTAGGGGCTGCTCCCTCTCCCACCGAATTAAATGCTTATAAGACTAGGTAGCAGTGAAGATAACAAAGTTTGCAAAGTTCTGTGTTTGGAAGAATGCTGAAAGGAACTTGAGATCATGGGATAAGCAGTTTCCTAGAGGTTCTGAAAACCTACAACTAGGTCTGATTTCAAAGAAAAATCTATAAAAGACATGGAATGCTGATAGTGTTTTTTGCTTCATAGAAAAATTAGTGAGAGTGTGAGACAGGCATGTTTTGGTTGTATGGTTTTTTTGATAACTCTTATGGTTCTGGATGGAAATGTGTTCTTTCATGTGCTTAAGAAGTTGGGAAGGCCTAAGTTAAGGCCTTCAGTGCTACAAGTGATAATCTGACCAGAAAGTATAGGTGCCAGCTAGTGTAACCTTTTCTTTTTCTTGAACCTTTGTTTTCATGATGTTTGCAGATACCTTAATGTATTTATCTTTTTTATGGTAGGAGTCCAAGTTTAAAGAAACTGGAGTGATCACTCCTGAAGAGGTAGGTATTCCATTGTTTATATGTTTTTCTGTGTGTCATTTGAAAGTAGTACAAACATGAAGTTCCTTTAGAAAGGTTTGCTAGTTCCTG